CCACTTTATACACTTTTCTGACAGACACCCACAGACCGTCCACCAATCGCCGTGAAGTACGTCACCTACTTCACATGTAAAGTACATGCAGACCAATCGACTACCCCGGATCCTCAGAACAAGTCACCAACGCTTGCCGTGCGGCCAATCAGCTACTACAGAGGTTGACGTTAACCACGCCCACGACAGGTTACCCAGGTAACCGGGTTCAAAAGTGCACACTGACCTTTATCTGACCTGTAATTTAGCTCATTAGCTACATTCCTGCATGCATCTGCATATCCTTAACATAAATCTGCATACTCGTTAACATAATGACGGTGACCTCTGACCTGCTCCGCCGTGCTCCGCCTGCTCCGCCTGAATAAATGATAGCAGCGTGTCGACTATATACTACTAATGTGTAATGAGCCCTGGAAGATTAGCCCTAACGGGCTTAAAGGGTATCGTAATAAACTGAAACTGAACTGATTTCAGAAGGTGACATATCCTGAGCATGTCGTTTTTATCCAGAAGAATGTATGTAATGTTACTGGTATTAATTTATGTAGAAGGAATAGCAAACAGTCAAAACTGAAGCTCCGAAGTCAAGACGACAAGAGCATCAGTCAACAAATTCATTTCTTGTGTTGGAATCAAGACATCATTCAGACATGTTCCTCTTCATAAGAGATTGAAGTACTACTAATTATCTTCGTCAGAAGGTTATGCGTTTAGTTAAACCACACAATGTATATGTTGCTGATTTTGTAATTGATTATTGCTTGAGGTGTGGTGCATTTGGTAGGGTAGGATGAGGTAGAAAAAGGGAAGGTCATTGTCAGTTTTAGGTACTCTAGCGGTTTTGTAAAGTACTGCAGCGGGTACATGGGTAGTAACTGTTTTTGGCGTATCTTGTTAGCATTGTTTATATGCTAAAGGGTATTGCACTTGTATGTAGTGTTATTCCCATCTGTTTTATACTTTTAATGAATGAATACTAATTTTAAAGTACAAGGTCTTTTAACTCACCGACCTTTAGTGTGCTTCCACATTCAATTCATTATTTCAGCAAAGGCTCAAAGTTGGTTAACGATGAGGTCTCTGAGACACATATTAATCCTTTTATGTATGCTTTATGCTACTATTTAGCTTATTGACCTTAAAAGATATTATCATTTTAGGGAACGTAAGTGCAATAATTGTTGGTTAGCAATGAGCTATATCAGTCTATGTCCCTCAGACGGTCCTCTGGTATATATTACAGTTTATCCCTCCATATTCTTGTGACTTTACCGCACTTGGATACGGAGGGCTAGTCAGTTTTCTGATAGTAAAAGCTTAACCTTAAGAATATATATATATATATTATAATAGAATATTTCAATAAGGCCACACCGACTCAATTTTATGGATGACATCCGCGCGCGCATTGATTTTTCGCCTGTTCTATTAAAAAAAAAGATCATGTCAACCGAGGCTCTGGCCTGGCTCTAGTCCTGGGTAGTCTATGGTATTTAGCGACAATACGTACAGTGCCGATTAATAAATTCCGCAAAAAGCCAGCATGTGCCGGCTTGTATACGTCGCTATGTACTGCCGCTAAACCTGATTTGTAATCCTGTGGTTAGTAGCTATAGCATTTTTATTTTTGGCCGGAATTTTTTTATTCACCCGCGCGCACTAGCTTGGGGATCTTCAGGGGATGTCATCCATAAGATTAAGTCAGTGTGGCCTAATATGATGTGGCAAATGCAAAATATTACATAAAAGAGGAATGTAACAATCCTCTGGCCGTTAGCCATCACTGTCGGCTGCTCAGCCTGGGGACATAAAACATAACAAGGAAGAAAGCAACTGTTAACTCGTGCACAGACAAAAGTTTAGTATATTTTGCATGTACAGAAAAGCATATATGTAAAAGGCCACATACTCGAGCTACGTTAGAAGACCCAACATTATTTCCCGATTACAAGTGTTTCATCGTATTTTAATTAGAAATATAGCAATATGGTTCATGTTTATGCTTTATTGATAGCTGTTTTTTGGCGACGCCTCAGGGGCGGAGCCCTTAGTATAGTACTGCGATTGAATTGCCAGGAATTCTAAATATTCCACGCACGCATTCCCTAGGGAATTCATTTTTGGCAACACCTTGCGGGTGAGGTCTTCCCTCCCAGCTCTTTAGCCGTTTTTCAATGACTTTGGAGCTTTTTCGACAGCTTGGTCAGGATCATTGTTTGGAATTGAACAAGGTCAGCATTTGAAGTCAGATGTTTCAAATGAGATGTCGTGATTGTCTGAATATAAACCAATATGTCACCGCGTTTGGTTGTTGTTTTTTTTTTTCTAGTAGTTTTCCTTCTCTTTATGAAAAGTATGTGTTTGGACATAAACCCAACGGATGAATTATAAAGTTCTTTTCAATGTTTCAAAGGAGATGTCGTGATTGTCTGAATATAAACCAATATGTCACCGCGTTTGGTTGTTGTTTTTTTCTAGTAGATTTCCTTCTCTTTATG